TTTTTTTTTTTTGTATTTTTAGTAGAGACGGGGTTTCACCGTGTTGGCCAGGATGGTCTCGATCTCTTAACCTCGTAATCCGCCCTCCTCGGCCTCCCACAGTGTTGGATTACAGGCGTGAGCCACCGCGCCTGGCCGAGCTTCCGTTTTTCTATCTATAAAATTGGGATGATACGAATATCATAGTGCTGTTTTTAGAATTAAACCAGATTATAGTTGTAAAACGGCAGAACCTGTTGCAGGATAAGCCCTCAATAAATGTGAAATGCTAACAATTATTGTTAAACAAATGTTATATAAAAATGCTCTCACCCTCACCTCCCCAGGCTACCCGGGATAAGAAAGGGTAGACAAAGAGGAGAAATCCTCCACATGGGGCAATGCATCCTCCTATTTTAAGGAAGAATCCAGAAGCTACCATGCACCTTTCTTAGCGTATGCATCACTTTGTCATTCTCTGGTAGAGTCGGCCCTGAAACTACACCCTTTCTATTTTATCCAATCACATCACCCCTAAAGTGAAAGGCATTCCACCCTTTCTTGCCCCTACTCCCACCCCTAGCTTCCCAGTTTTCTTTTCCCAGTCACTCATTCCCCTCTTCCCCGCCCCGCCCAGAGGTCGTGGCTTCTCCCTCGCCCCGCCTACTTTCTAATTTTCCCGCCTCAGTAGCTCTTGGCCACTTAGGGATGTAATTGTTTCTTTTCCCCCGCCTCTTCGTGACGTTATCAGAAATAAGACCTATGATTGGTTTTTCCGGAGCAAGAGCCGGCCAATGACAGGCATATATTTTTGGTGCAGCTGGGCAGCCAGTATTATCGCCGGTGATTGGCTGGAGTGGCCCGAGTCGGGAAAATGGCTGCGAGTACCTCCGTAGTCCCGGTGGCTGTGACGGCGGCAGTGGCGCCTGTCCTGTCCACAAACAGCGATTTCTCAGATTTGCGGGAAATTAAAAAGCAACTGCTGCTTATTGCGGGCCTTACTCGGGAGCGGGGCCTACTGCACAGTAGCAAATGGTGAGATATTGGAGTGGGAAGGGATGGGGCTTGAATCCTTGGCCTTGGGGGGCTTGTCGAGCTGATCTAGTTTGTGTGGGTGTTCCAGGTCGGCGGAGTTGGCTTTCTCTCTTCCCGCATTGCCTCTGGCCGAGCTGCAACCGCCTCCGCCTATTACAGAGGTAAGGACATGTTTACTCTGAGCGCTCCCCATCAACCCAGGGATGTGCCTCAAGAGCCACTGAGTGCCCAGTCACTGGAGGAGAGCAAACTGCTTAGCAGGAGTGTTTGTAGAGGGAATTCAAGCATTCAAAGAGCTGAGTGTTTTCAATGATTTTATCCATCTAGTTTTCTTGAGCTTTGAAAGACTTGGTGGTCCTCTTATTTTAAGCTGGAGAGAATTAGTAAACAATTATTGCTTATGATTTCAGCCTTTTAGTGCTTATAGCCAAACCTAGACGTAAGAGTGCCTCATAATAGTAAATATTATTACAAGGAATTATAAGACTATCTCATAATAAATATGAGATAGTCCAAAAGGATGAGAAGAATAAAAAGTTTTGGTCTGGCACGGTGGCTCACGTCTGTAATCTCAGCACTTTGGGAGGCCAAGGTGGGCGGATCACGAGGTTAGGAGTTCGAGACCAGCTTGGCCAACACGGTGAAACCCCGTCTCTACTAAAAATACAAAATTAGCCGGACCTGGTGCGCGCGCCTGTAATCCCAACTACTCGGGAGGCTGAGGCAGGAGAATCTCTTAAAGAACCCAGGAGGTGAAGGTTGCAGTGAGCTGAGATTGCGCCATTGCACTCCAGCCTGAGGGCAGAGCGAGACACTGTCTCAAAAAAAAAAAAAAACAACAAAAAACAGTTAAAAAAATGTTTTTACAATACCTACACTGTTGTCTGATCAGCATAGCAAGTAATGGTTGAGTTTAGGCGCTGGGTTGAGATGATCCTGGGTTCAAGTGACCTTTGGCAACTTAACCTTCTGAGCCAATTTCCTCATATGTGCAGTGAGGATAGTAATAGTACCTATTCAATGGGGATATTGAGAGAAGTCAATGGGATAATAATATAGGCTGCTTAGAAGTGTACCTGGTTTCAGTCAAGTTCTTTATTAGTAGCACCAATGTGGGCAAATGATTTCTAAGTGACTGCCTTCTCATCTATAGGTAATGTTAATAATTGCTAGATTTTCAAGAAGATTAAATAAAGCAATAAGTAAAGCATACGGTATACTCTTAGGTAAATTTTTTTTTTTTTTTT